TATTATTAGGTCACAATATGGCACCAAGCAGTCAAAAACAGCAGCGAGACTAACAAGATATAGTTATGGATGTGAACGTATTTACTAATAGTCAAAATGACTCGGAATGACTATTCTATGCTATTGAGCATGTCTGGGGAAAGATGAAGGTGGTGGCATTGAAGATGAATCCAAAGAGTCTTGATGTCCAGCAAATTGGCCATATTGTATGAGTGTGTGTGTGAATGTGAGAGTGTATGGGTGTTTTCCAGTACTGGGTTACGGCTGGAAGGGCATCCGCTGCATAAAACACATGCTGGAATAGTTGGTGGTTCTTTCCATCGTGGCAATTCCTGATAAATAAGCGACTAAGCTAAAGGAAAATGAATAAATGTTATCAATATAAATCACTATCCACTGTCATTATATGAAAAAAACAGGAGCTTGTTCTGCATTACGTCTCATTATTGTTTTCTTACCAGAAGGAAAACAGAAGTTTGAATATGAGGGAGTGAATGATGATTGAACAATTAATTACAACTCTAATCGACGGGTCACTGAGCTGAGGTGTGTGGCCAATAACATACATCTAACTAATGTATTACTGTTTTCTCTGATAACATTTCAAAAGCAGTTAGTAAGTGTAATTTCTAAAAGCCATGTCTGGATTCTGGAAATGGGCCAGTGTCAGTTCTGGCCCATTACTCTCATTTCTACTTAACAAAAACGGCAATTAATGCTGACCTATGCTGGCACCTATTAAGGCTGATTAATTAGTGAATGAATGAATGTTGCAGTTATGAAGCTCACTACAAGGTGTTACATTCCAGACCTCTGATCCTCATCTTTGTCTTTTCTAAGCGGTTATTTTTATAGTATTTTGAAATGCGTGTTGCACATCCAGTTGAGGGGAAAATGAATAAAAATATTATCTTTTTTTAAATATTTTATGTTTAATGAAGCAAATACATGCCATATTTTTTTTTTCTTCTGGAAAAATGTCTTGACTGGAATAATAAATAATAATATTAATAGTCATTTTAAGTTCAATAGTATTCGCCCTTTATTTCTGCAGCCCAGGCTCATTCTGAATACATACTCCTATATACATTTTTGGAGAGTGCCAAATACGTCCCAGGAGCTACGTCATTTAGCAGTTTTTGTTTTTGCGAATCCACCAGAGGCCGCTGTGTATGCTTTTTGAGATCTCAAATTTGTTTTGCGAGTGCCATTTGCGCTTGCTGTTTTCACATAAATCCACCAGAGGCCGCTGTTGACTGACTAACTGACCAATCGACTGACTCACCCTCCTCCTTCCCTAAACCCAACCGAGTGTTTTCAAAAGCACTGATTGACCAGCGCCCAACGCCCTTTCCTTAAACCAACTGACAGTGTTTTCAAAAGTAATCCAGAAAAAGAAAAACCCTTGCGGCAGCTTGATTTTTATTTTATTTTTTTAGATCTCACCACATTCTCACCCTGTTATTTACTTGTTTATTTATTTATTTTTTTTGTCTTACCTGCTTTTTGGAACTGTTCTTTATCGGACTTCAACCCCGCTGTCACAATCAAATCCGCTCCATGTCACAAGTCTGTCGACATACTGTTCGCGGCGAGCCACTGGACAAACTAGTAACAGCAGAAAAGCCGGCCATACAAAGGTAAGTGGTCTGCTGGTAATCGCGAAAAGGAACCGTGTCATAGCCTTCAGTTTAAAGACTAAATGCAGCCATATGTACCTCTGATTACATAATTCGCAATCTCCAGAAATGTATATAGGGCTACGTTATCAAAATGAGCTAATGTAGAATTGCCTAACATACCTACTTAACCTACCTAAGCCTTTAAATTGCACTTTAAACTAGGGGTGTAAAAATAGTTTCTTCAATAAACCGTGATGCAGACGTGAACAATTTGGTATCGGTTCAGTAATTATCATAACCGTTTATTTTGTACTGAGTTCATTTATCACATATGGCGGTAACTTACTATGGCAAGGGAGGAGACAGCAAGTGATTAAACACTCCAATAGGGCTGCACGATAAATCGAAAATAGATTGCGATCTCGATTCTACCCCTACACACAATCTTAATTCAGCTAATTCAGCCAATTATATTTTTACAGTCAGGAGAGAAGCGAAAAGGCGGTCTTCACAGCAACATGGACACCTCCAAATGGTGTTAAAAGTATCACATAAGTATTTAAAAGGTATAAATCTCAAAAAATGTAATTTCTGTCTTAATATTGATGTATTCGAGGCCGAATACATCAATCACACGTGAGCTGACTGTGAGCTGTTTTGTTTACTACCGAAAGGACGCGCGTGACACAATGACGCCTACGCTAGCATAGTCTGTGAATAACATAAATATTAGATGGTATGCAAACTATTACAGCTCATAATGTTTTGTGCCTAATTTGTACATCTCGTGGCAAGTCTCCGTGTAATAAACAGGATAAAGTACATCCAGGTAGTTGTTTTCGCAGAGAAAATGCTTTAATCTTACACAACAAATGAGTTCATATCTAAAGATACGCTTTAAAAAGTATAAAAGAAATAATCATTTACTTGAGGTCAATATATGTATATACACACTATTAATTGACTGAACTTAAAGAAATAATATTATACTATATATATCCTGGACATCAATTAAATGGCTTAAATTGGCTTATACCCTGCCCAGCTCATTCGCGCTGCATTAACCAATCAGGAGTTTGTTCTTTTAGGGTTGTGATCATGGTGACTGTGAATGCCCCATTATCAACAGCCCTCCACGGTTGGTACCATGTTGTGACTGAATACATAGGTTTGTCTTTGCTCTGTTCAGACGATTTCGTTTCTGCCAGCGTTGCCTATTAAATTGTTACGCAATTACATAGCTAGTATGTAAATATTAGATGTTATGTAAACTATAACAGCTCATAACAATGTTCTGTGACTAGTTTCCACATCTTGTGGCAAGTAGCCGTGTAATAAATAGGATAAAGTACATCCAGCCAGTTGTTTTTGCAGAAAAAAGGGTTTAATCTTATACAACAACTGAGTACATAACTGAAGATATGCTTTGAAAAGTAATATCTATATATATATATATATATATATATATATATATATATATATATATATATATAAACACACACTATTAATTGACTGAACTTACATAAATATCTTTTATACTGTGATATATAACATTAATGAAATGGCTTATATCGGCTTATCCAAGTCCTATGGACTAGTATTATATTTTGTTTTTCTTCTTTTGTTGCAAAAATAACCCTTCATTTCACCCTTTGTTTCTCAAGAGCCACACAGGGAGTATGATTTACATGTGTGTGTGTGTATGTGTGTGTGTGTGTGTGTGTGTGTGTGTGTGTGTGTGTGTGTGTGTGTGTGTGTGTGTGAAACAAAAGCTTTTATTTTTCACAAAGTGAAGAAAATAATGCATGGTTAGAAAAGCATGAGGGTGAATAAAGGTGAATTTTAATTTTAGTGCTGGCAGTACTTTTTATAATAGAAACCTGGGTTGGAAATGAGCGGATTAATTGGTTGTGCTGGGGAACCCTGTTGCGTATTGTTTATGGGTATCCAAAAATACACTATTCAGACGCTGCTTAGACAGTGTGTAGCGGGGCAAAATCAAAAGGGTGCTTGGACAGGCCTCAAAGTCCAGTGTGCAGAAGTCCAATTTATGCCAGGCAACATTAGCCTTTCACCCTTGATTTCTTGGAAAACTCAATAGCACAACAGGATAACGGCTGCAAATTTGTTGCGAAGCAGAGGCATTTGGCACGGTTTAGTCATCGGTAATTTGAAAATTCTTTATTTTATTAGAAATCTAGGTCACATATTTTAGTTGCATGGCAAAAGAGTTGGAACTGCTCATCCTAGACTGTAGAAAAAAAAAAGAGATTGCCTCTGTTGACACCCACACACTATCTGATGAATGATCTTATCATGGCAAAAGCCAGCATTGTGCATGATACAATGAAATAGAAATATGTTCCCATAGACCAATTTATAAAGGACTAGTTGTCCCAGAGAAATAAAAAAAAAATAATAATAATACTTTGTGATTTCTCAGTTTTTTTCACCATACTGTATTTTTTTTCCTCCAAGAGGCTGATGCAAATGAAACAAGAATGCCAAACGTCGCAGTGTCAACAGTTTAAAAGATGATAACTTTGTTTGCTTACTGAGGAGATCAATGGTCCCATGGACAAATACATTTCAAAACTGTTCATCCTTCTGCTCACGCAGGTGCTGTGCTTTCAGAAATGTGGACAGTCTCATTGATTTCCAATATCTAAACCTTAAGACGATACTCATAAAAGCATGGATATTTATTTCGAGACAAGCTCTCTCCTTTTCCCATACTTAGGCCATTCGAAATGTAAAATGTGACTTTGATTTTGAATTTCCTTTGTGCTATATTTCTTTTGCAATCAAGTAGAAATCTAAAGATACTTACCACTTAATAATCCCCCAAAATATTTAAAGTAAATATAATCACTTATTAATTCAATTATTTCAAAGTTATTTATGACTTTAAATATTATATTTAAAGTATTATTATTTTTTAAGCACTAACGGAAAGTTTGAGGATTAAATATTTAAATAATTCAAATAAAAATAACTTAAATTACCTCCACAAATCCCCTTGTCTTATTAATATTGCACTAATTCTTATGAAAATAAGTGATATTTCAACATTGCCTGGCATGCTTGGGAACTATACACAAGCAAAATCAAGTAAGTGTGATGAGCAGATACACCAGCAGCAGTTTAGGCAGAAGTTGATCTAACAAAGGGGCTGTATAAACAATCAAACAAGATGGTGGAGAAAAGGGTGCCAGAACAAAGACCCTGCACTGATATCTGACTCGGTGTTGATTTTCCAAGTCCTGACACATGAAGAGGAGAGGACACATCAAAGTGCAACATCATCCGTGTGTTATGCGTGCATTTTTGCAGCGGCAGTGCATCAATTCATGCTCACAAACAAGTCTTGAGACTCACCACTGTGTGCTGCTGACTCCTGGTTGGTCATGGTGGGCTCTAGGTCCACTTTGTTCTCGCATCGTCCGAGTCCTTGTATCAGCTGCTCCAGCGGTAACTCTGAATTCGCGCTCGGGTAACACCTCAAACCGCTGCCGCATCTCGGCGTATAGACCCCGCACAGCTCGCCCTTCTGCCGGGCGCAAACCGGACAGCAACCGCAACCCGGTTCTCTGACAATCTCGCAAGAGGTGGTGAGCTTGGGACACGCTGCCTGGCGCTCCGCGGTGCAGCTCGGACAGCGGAACACGATCTCCCCGAGCGAGCCGTGCACCAGTAACAAACTGCAGAGCAATGCAAGAGACATGCCGTTATCTCTTCAGGCTGACAGATGTCGGGATTCTGCAGGCGACTTCAGGTGGAAAAGTAAAAGTGCGTTTGGGGACAGGTGAGGTTCGCCGGAGAGCTCTGCTGGGTCCTATTTGCTGTCATGTTACTCCGAAATGACATCACATCAAAAGCTAGTAGTCAAAGTCAAAAACAGATGATGGAGTCGGTCTGACCATTGACTCGAGTCGAGTCTGTTGTTGTTTTGGAAATATCTTTATAAGGTTGTCACTACTGTTATTTTTCCTTAAGTTAAATTACCATATTAACAATGGTTCCAAACTACAATAAAGCATAACAATAATTATTGAACAGAACAAAGAGTGTGAATTATTAATCTGTTTGATTGGGAGTGGTCAGTAGCCTACTTCACTCAGGCAACTTGGCTTTTCTGCTTGGGGCTAACTTCAAATATGTTTATTAATAAGCAAAGTATGATTTTAAAATAATAATTTTAACAGAATGTTGCTTCAGGCGTCAAAATTTAATAAATCAAAATTAGCGCATGGTTTTTGCACCCTCAAGGAATGACTTACTTCTTTCAGTTGAATCCAAAGTTATATCAAGTCTTTTAAGCTCAAGCAAAGGGCAAGTGTTTCTCTTAAATCGCTCAAAACAATTCCAATAAAATCACACCCATCCATAAAAATAAAAAAAGTACCCCATGGCTCCAATAAGCGACTAAAGATCTTTTGTAGCGAAGCAATGCTTTTTTATAAGAAAACTATCTATATTTAAAACAGCTTTGTAACTTGCACGTACACGTAGCATATGTGCAGTTGAGACAAATGCAATGCACAAAGGATAATTCGTAGTGGGTTCCCTTGAGGTTTTCCTGTGGGCTTTTACAATGGGATTGTTTGAGTAAAATAGCGCATGGTAAACATTGACAATGCTTTAAGATTTTCCTTTACAATATAAAACAAACACAGTCATGTACTTTTCTACTGTTTAAGAATAAAACCTCCCCAATGTAAACCCACAGAGGAAAATATTTAGAGAACCCACAAGTGTTCTTCTGAATTTTGATCAAATTTCTGCATCACTATATTTTTGGGACTCTGGATTTTTATATATATATATATATATATATATATATATATATATATATATATATATATATATATATATATATATATACATTTATTTTTTTAACCAGTTTCTGTTTAACGGAGAGAAGCTTTTTTTCAACACATTTTCTAAGCATAATAGTTTTAATAACTGATTTCTAATAACTGATTTATTTTATCTTTGCCATGATGACAGCAAATAATAGTTGACCAGATATTTATCAAGACACTTCAATACAGCTTAAAGTGACATTTAAAGGCTTAATTAGGTTAATTAATTAACTAGGCAGGTTAGGGTAATTAGGCAAGTTATTGTATAATGATGGTTTGTTCTGTAGACTATCAAAAATAGTTTAAAGGAGCTAATAATTTTGATAATAACTTAAAATGTTGTTGTTGTTTTTTTTTTTATAAAATTGCTTTTATTCTAGCCAAAATAAAAAAGAAAGACTTTCTCCAGAAGAAAAAAAATATTATCAGACATTCTGTGAAAATTTCCCTGCTCTGTTAAACATTGTTTGGAAAAAAAATATTTAAAAAAGAAAAGAAAATTTAAAGAGGGGCTAATTATTCTGACTTCAACTGTGTGTGTGTGTGTGTGTGTGTGTGTGTGTGTGTGTGTGTGTGTGTGTGTGTGTGTGTGTGTGTGTGTGTGTGTGTGTGCGCGTGTGTGCGCGTGTGTGTGTGTGTGTGTGTGTGTGTGTGTACAAATTCAGACAGTGGTAAGGACAGAGCTGTGTTCACTACACATTGGAACACACTTAGCGTGACATGAGAAAGTCCTCACTGTGACCTATTAACACCAGCAGAAATAATATATATATATATATATATATATATATATATATATATATATATATATATATATATATATATATATATTTATTTTTTATTTTATTTTTTTTTAATTCATAAAGTTTTTTAAAGTATATTAATGAATTGTGGGTGACACAGTGGTACAGTGATTAGCATCGTCACCTCACAGCAAAAAGATTGCTGGTTGAGTTTTGGTCGCTGATTCGGTTTCCCCTACAAGTCCAAAGACATGCGCTAAAGGTGAATTGGATGCACTAAATTGGCTGTAGTGTATGAGTGTGAATGAGGGTGTATGGATGTTTTCCATACTGGGTCATAGCTGTAAGAGCATTCGCTGTGGACAGCATTGTTGTACAAGTTGGCGGTTAATTCCGCTGTGGCGACCTGTGATGAATAAAGGGACTAAGCCGAAGAAAATTGAATAATTTAATTGTGCCATATACCAACAACATTTCAACCATTAAACTATATGTAAATTATAAACCTTCGCTAGATTTTTCTAAACCTACTGTATCTAGCTATGTGTTTGTGTTAAAAATAAATGAATAGAAACGTCTCTCGTTTGTCATTATGGCTGGTGGTTTGGGTCACATGCATCATATTTCATGCTTCCGAACTTCCGTTAAGGGTGGAGAGGGATTTTCATGGTGCATTGTGGGACTTTTCAGGGTGCAAACATTTCAAATAATCAGTCACACTTTATTTTGATGGTCTGTTTGTTGAATTTAAGTTACATTGCATCTACATGCCAACTAATTCTCATTAGATAATAAGTAGACTATTAGATTGGGGTTGGGGTTAGTGTAAGTTGACATGTACTTGCAAAGTTTCCTATAGTCTGTTAAATGTCTGTTAAAGGAGCAGTATCAACAACTAATACTCAAATGGACCATCAAAATAAAGTGTTACCAAATAATTTTGTAAATGAAACAGCACCTAAAATGGCTGATGGCCTGATCAGTGCATTGGCTACTGAACAAGGGTGCTGATTGAGACTCACCCGATATCAGGGATGTCAAACTCCCAGAGGGCTGCAGTTCTGCATGGTTTAGCTTTAACCCTCATTAAACACACCTGATCAAGAAAATGGAGTCCTTCAAGCTTGTTTGAACCCTACAGGTATGTGTGTTGAAGCAGGGTTGGAACTAAATTCTTTAGCATACCTTTGAAAACACATAGCATATCTTTGAAAACACAATCACTCCTTCGCCGTCAAAAGCAACGCCTCCTGAAATCACACACATTAAAGATTACAGTAAACAATCTACTAGATCATATCACTCGGCAGTTAGAAAACGTTATAGTTCTTTATAATATGTTTTCAGTTGCGTAGCAAGCAAAACTTGTCATGATGTGCAATATGATATGCATGCAAAGATCGCTGGTCTCACTCTCTCACATGCTGTCCTGGGCGACTACTGTATGCTTGACGTGGTTATCGTAGAATAGAAAAAGTACAGTAGTGGTTGGCCAGCGGCATGCAGGAATTACACTTACTAAGCCATACTGACATGCTATTCAAACCGAATATTCAAAGTAGCATGTAAACAATATAGAGAGTGCGTCACAGGCTGTCATTGTTAAAAAAAATGAATGTCACAGCCTCGGCTTGTTCCTGCTCCCTCACAAACCACCTCCATGCAATCCTGCAAACCATCACCGGCCTTCTAATCACCTGCATCTGTTCCCCATTATCAAAGACATTATAAAAGCTTACCTTATCCTCTCATTCCTCGGTTAGTATTGTACCTTTGCTCCTTCGTCTTTTCCTCTTCTTCTATTAATGTTCCTTATGTGCAGGGCTTTACATTAACTTTTTTGATCACCAGCCACTAGAGATGCGCGGTTGGCGGTTATAGCCGCGGACTCCGCGGATAAACCGCGGATCGGGCGGATGACGTTACGAAAAAATAATATTTTAATTAAATTCGGGCGGGTGGCGGGCGGTTGTACTGTTTTTATAGGCATAGCTGGCGCACCAACGAAAAAGCCTAGGACTGACTTCACAGAATGGGAGGATGAAACGGATACACTAATTCTGGATGAAGTACAGAAGTATTCCTCTACAAACTTCCGTATAGACGGATCAGCAGAGGAAAATCTACTTCCTTTTGGGAGAAATAAGGCCAGTCATTCCCACGACTACAGCACCTTTCCAAGAGAATTCTATGCATTTCAGGAACAAGTGCTGCGAGCGAGCGCTCCTTCAATGCAGCAGGGCGCATTATAGTGGCTATGCAGGCGCTCCCGTCTGAATCCTGACACTGTAGATGCTATTTTATTCCTGCATTGTGCCAAGAAAAAATCAAACTAGACCTAAGGTCAGGCATATTAAACCAATTAGCCTATGTTATTTAGGCTACACATATGTTCAATATAAACTTTTGAGTTCGGTCAGCTGATAATTTTACGTTCATATTGTTTTAGCCTATTCTATTCTAGACATGTTGGCCTCGCTTTTACGTTCCGAGGCTAAGGTTATTTTGCCAGAATTTCTTTGTCTCAACTGGCGTAGTATTTCGTTATGCTTCAAGTTTGAGGGGAATGGGGATAATCCTAAATCCATGGGTTATTGGGGCACTTAGCCTGGTCAGACTTTATGTTCGCTCAAAGAGGGATGGCATATCTATTTTTCTAATTTAATTTCTAATTGTGGGGGTGACTGAGCCTACAAGGCTTAGGCACGATATGACGTTTTTATTAATTTTTTTTCAACTGTTTGCCAAAGCATGAGACTATAGCCTATGCCTACATTAAGATATTTATGTTAATATTTTTTTACTGCCTGTTGTTTCTTTTGGCATATAAAATAGGTATTGTCTGATAGAGATATAAATAAAGGTTCATCTTGTCGCAGAACTGGTGTTGTTTCCGATTTCTACAAGCTTAATAACATCCACAGCAAAAAATAAAAAATAAATAAATAAAAAAATAGTCGAAAAACTGTGCCCATTAATTAGATGTGCAAGGCAATCAGGTACGTTTTTGGGGTTGCTATGGACAACTACAAATGTAAACATTATTAGGCTATAATGTAAATGACTTATTATTCTATCTATTTACTAAAAAATAAAGTGAAATAGGCATTTAGTAG